GGCCACACCTACTCCAACAAGGTCATACCTCCAAATAGTGTCACTCTCTGTGAACCTATGAAGACCATTTTCATTCAAACCTTCACACTATCTTCTCTTTCTTCCTGACTTGGGGTGTAACTGCCTGCTCTGACATGTACTCCTCCCATGATATATAACACTCACCACAGGCCCCACCCAAAAGGAAACCTTTTTTGAGACAAGAACTTGCTATGAAGCCCAGGTCAGTCTCTAATTCAATAGAAGCCTAGACTTTCCTCCAAGTGACAATCCTCCTGCCTTACCATCCTAAGTGCCAGGATTATACAACTGTACCATCACACCCAGTAGAAACTCTATTATTGCTGGAGATCGAACCAGGGCTTTGCACATGCTGACGAATGCTCTACCACTAGGCTGTATCCCTGACTACAAAATCAAATCTCCCTTCGTAAGAACCTATAGCAGATACTCTTATCAGCATGGACAGCTGATTTAATAATGCATAGTGTCTCAATAAGTACTTAATGTGCTGTACCTTGTTCTTGGACTTAGCAGCCTCTAAAACTATGAGAAATCAATTTCTCTCATTTAGGGACTGTCTCGGGGTACTTATCAAGTACACACAAAGCCCCAGATTATATCCTCAGCAGCAAAAATGTTTTTTTTTCTACTATTTATAAACTATTCTGTTTATTATATTCTCCCAACCAAAACTATGACATTTGTAAGCTCTGGTAAACAATATACCAGTCCCAGAGATGTGCTCTGTGAAATATAAAGTCCACATATCCATCCTCTGGGAAGGCTGCTGGGAAAGAGACACAGGTGAACAAGTATGGTGGCCGGTGCTGCAGTGGATCCAGGTAGCATGGACCTCATAGACAGGATGGCCAACTTAGTGACGCCCCTCAGTGGATCTATCGCTTCACTGTTTACAAGGCGCTTTCCTTCTTTTTCCTCACTTAAATCCCAAGAGAGGATGCACCAAAAGTGCTTCATTCATAGCTGAGGAAACTGAGGTACAGGACAGTAAAGCGACTTGCCTGTGGTCCTATTGTAAGTAGCGCTAGTGCCCTGCACATAATGTGCCCTTAGGTAAGATTAAATTTAATCCAATCCCATTTCATTGAAGCGGCCAAGTTGGGGCACAAATCTTCCTGGAAATTGGTCTGACACACTGAATCCTCCTTCAAGGTTATGTCCATTCAACTGTGAGGCCCAGAACAGAACAGGCTTCCAATGCCAGGACTCGGATCCAGGCCTTTCCACTGGTGTTCCAAAGAACTCTGAGCGAATTTTGTCACTATCCGAGGCCCGAAAGCTTCCTCAGTAAAGTGTAACATAACAGGAATCTGCTTTTCCAGCAAAACGTCTCTTCTAGCCAGAGCTGGATGGAAACAGAAACATTCCGGCAGAGCCCAGAAAAATCCATGTTTAGTCCCGTGGAGAACTGTCAGGCAGGAGACTGGCCTCTTGTGTGATGAGCCACCCTGTCCTCTTGCGGCATGTACCTGTAACCAGATGTAATCAGATGCTCAGCTGAGGGGGCCATCGCATGGCTGTATTTTACACTATTTCCCAGTGTGACATGCTGGGCTGCGTTAAGTGCTGCTAGGGATAAGTGGCCAGGCAAAATGGAGGTGGCTGGTGGGAGGTCACACCATGAACCCTCCCACGACTATAGTCAGGAAGCCTTTGTGAGGGTGTGGTTCAGTCTACTGGAACATGATGCCCCTTGCCTTTTTAACAGGAAGCCAGCACAGACAAGCAAAGCTCCCTGACCCCTGACCACCCTTTCCTGAGCAAAACAGGTTCATTCTTATTTGACTAATGACAGAAGGGAACCTACAGGAAATTACCAGAATGTGACATTTGTTGGCTATTTTTGCACAAAAGAAAAAAAACATTATGTTGAAAGCAAACTTGTGACAGGCCACTTAGAATGGAGAGGAATGAGAGCTGGCTTTAAGCCAAACAGAGGAAGTGTGGACCCTGGTTCTGCCACACACACCCTGATCCAGCAGCACGTGTTCAGTCTCGATGCCTGTGTGTAGCAAACGTGAACAAAAATCCCTGTGGTCAGGAGGCTGAGGCAGGAAGATCATGAGTCTGAGGCCAGCCTGTGCTATATAGTAAGAACTCAAAAAGAAAAAAGAAAGAGGAAAAAAACCTTTGTCTTATCTACTTCAGACAGTGATGCTAGACCTAGAGGAGAAAGTGCCCTCTTTAGTCTCCTCTCCACAATGGGCAGAACTTTCTTGAAACCGAGGCATCTCTAGCCCCACAACTCAGCATGCTGCCCCCCGCTGTGGGAGGTCCTCAGCCCACATTGGTTGAATGAGTGAATAAATTCCACGGCCTGATCCATGAGAACTTGCCCAGTTCACAGCCAGGGAAGAGGGAGCTAAGGCCATGCTCCGTGTCCCTCCACACACACCCACTCCCCGCTCCCGAACACTATGTGTGCATGCAAAACCCTCTTCACACTTGGAAACCTTTCTCTTTTCAACCCCTTGGTCAGTGAGTAGCAGCTTTGAAACAAGAACTCAAACAAGCCGTGGTTCATTTCACAGGGCCCACTGAAACCCAAGTGGGACTGAAGCAGTGTTTTTTCTTTCTTTCCCAGCCACAGATTTGGGTAGGTCTGCCAGTGATTATCTTCAGTAAACCTGACCCTTTCCCACTCTACTCCTCTGCTGAAACCTAATATTGAATAGCATCAGAATCTTAGGCTCCAGCCAAATATCCCAACCTGCTCTCTCCAGTAGATCTTGCTGCCAAGACCCAGAAAACTGGATATATTATCTTTCATCAATACTAATACATATATTTTTTTAAATGCCAGCATCAGTAAAATCAGAATAAAACTTCGCCATTAATAGCCTAATTGTCAGTTTCTATCTTTTTGTTTTGTTTTGTTTTTGTTTTTGTTTTTCAAGACAGGGTTTCTCTGTGTAGCTTTGCACCTTTCCTGGATCTCATCTTGTAAACCAGGCTGGCCTCGAACTCACAAAGATCTGCCTGCCTCTGCCTCCCGAGTGCTGGGATTAAAGGCGTGTGCCACCACTGCCCAGCCCAGTTTCTATTCTTATATGGTAGAACATAAAATAAACGTGTGCCTTGAAGTTACTGCAGATGAAGTGAAATCCAGCATGGCTAGCTGGAACACAGTCACTACAAGTCTGTGCACAGTTTCCCTAGTGGTTTAGGCTTACTTCCTTCTGAATTCACTGTGCCTTACTACTTCCTTGTGAATTCACTCTCCCACCTGGGCCATGAAGCTGACTGACTGTGAGCCATGCAGAGGCCTTCAGGAAAAACCAGCTCTGCTGATACCTTATTTGAGGGCTCCAAGGCTGGAGAAAAGTAAGAAAATTGCCTGCTGTTTTTTCAGCCACCCAGCCTTAACTACCTTGTCATAGAAGCCCTATAAGCAGAGAGCGAAGGAGGGAAGAGGCTGAGGTAGAACCGTGCATCCCAGTTGTCTGTGTTATAAACAGGACCCAGGACCCAGGACCCAGGACCCAGGACCCAGGACCCAGGACCCAGGACCCAGGACCAGCAAGGCAGAGCCAAAGAAGACACACCCAGAGCTTCTGTTACTACTCCAGAGCCTGATAAAATCTGTCATGCTTTTTACTTTGCTTTAGAGATTTTCTTGCTGGGCATTGGTGGTGCACGTCTTTAGTTCCAGCACTTGGGAGGCAGAGGCAGGCAGATCTCTATGAGTTTGAGGCCAGCCTGGTCTACAGAGTGAGCTCCAGGATGGCCAGAGCTACACAGAGAGGCTCTGTCTTAATTTTTCTTTCCTTTAAATCCAGACAAACCAGAAAACACTTCCTCTCCAAAGGAAAAAGGAAGGAGAATCTGTTTGGTGAATTTTGTCCAAGTTGACTCAGTGCCCTGCTGGCCCGATCCCCAGCTTGAGTCTGGAGTGTTTTATTCTTGTGTTTTTGCGGACTGGGTCAGCAAAATACATCTCAGGATTGTTGGTCTGTTTTTCCCTGTTGCCTCATGACTCCAGACAAGATTGCCAAAGCTCATTCTCCCACCAGCACTCTCCAAGAAGTCCTCTTGGGGATAAAATGCCAAGATTAATTTAGAGGCTCAAAGATGCTCCTAGGCTTTTCCGAATGGCCCGTACCCATGAGGCGGTATGAACAACAGGAGTCCCAGGGTCTGGCCTTGGCTCTCTCTCACTGACTGTGTGTAATGTGGATCCGTTGTTTTGCCTGTCTGGACTTGTTTCTGTCGGGGAAGCAATGGAGTCAGTCATTCATGCAAAAATCTAAACCAGCCCCTCCCCATTCAAGCCCTGTGCTGAGTGCTGGGGAGACTGAGGCATGAGCCTAGTAGATTGTCTGTTTCAGAAAAATTCTAGAGCAAGGTTGAGAGCAACCAGTAAAGGAAACAAGGCAGAGAGAAGAGCAACCCCCGTTTCCTGGCTGGAGAGCTAGGTGGGGTCAGGAGGGCCGTACCTGAACTGAACTTTAGGGGAGAGGGGAGCTTGCTAGAGCCAGAAATTGAGGGAAGACATTCCAGGAGGGAGAGGCTCTTGAAAGAAGAACAAAGCCAAGTTTCCAACAGTTATGGGAGAGCAGAGAGAGTGGACAGGGGTCCGGGCAGACCACCTGCTTCTAGACCGTCCTCACAGAGTAAGGTCTCGTTAGCCTACAATACCCCGTGGGAAGACTTCCTGCCTACCCTGTGCCATGTGTGAGTCAAAAGCATCGTCCACCCTCACCCAAAACTCCAGAAAGAGGCCCAGAGACCCAGCTAGTCTTCCACTGGCCTCCCTCCCTCAGGCATATATTTCCCATTGACGTTCTCTCTTGGGCTCTCAGAATCATCCCACAGAATCACCACCACCTCCTCTTAAAGGGAAGCCTCGTCTGCCCACAAGGAAGTGACCTTACCTTCTGGCCTCATATATGCAGGCCTTTTGGATAATACATGGTATACTACCATGATCTATTTTTCCTGCCTTTTAAATTTTTATTCTTTGGCAACTTTATACATGTATCTCCCCATGGCCCTCTCTCAGCCCTCTCCATTGGAACCCTTCCTCTTCCCAACAAGCCCCTCCTCCCTTGATGCATTTAGTTGTTTTGGACCCACTAAGTTTAACCCTGGTTGCCTGCATGAGCATGAATGGGGCTTATTTACTGGAATTGGGGCAACACCACTAAGGAAAATAACAGCCCCTCCCCACCTAACTTCTTTCAGTATTAGCACAAACTTTAACAAGCTAGTTGACCACACTCTTCCCAAAAACATACATGCATTTATATTTATCATATTCCCTTGCTTCCTTAGAGCAACTATGGTCATGTGACTGAAGAACGACGTGGAGCTTTCAAGGTGGTTCAGCAGGTGAAGGCATCTGCTGCCAAGCCCAATGATCTGAGTTCTATTCCTGAGAAGAGAACTGACTCCAGCCAGTTGTCCACTGATCTCCACATGTGTGCCATAGTATCTACTATGCGGGGCCATCCCACCCCCGCTTTCCCCCAGAGTACTCTTAAGTAGGAGCAGCAGGAAATATTAGATAGAAGGATAAAGGGGAGAGAAACAGAAAATACAGGATAGCCTCAGGAGGGCCTGGATCCTCATCCATGGGGCCCTGACTGTCTCTGCCCAAGGGTTTTTAAAGGAATGCCAAAAGGTGGAGCAGAAGACCTCCCCCCCCCCCAGCACAGCCAAGTGCACACCATCTCAGAAGCCTGGCACTCAGGCCCTTGATCCAGTCATCCTCTTTATGCAGACCTGCTGGGTAAAGCCACGAGGAACCTCAATGGGCTCCAACAATACACACACACACACACACACACACACACACACACACACACACACACACGATCAATACATACATACATAGATGATAGATGTCAAACTTTTCTGAGAAATGTTCCTACTCACAGAATATGACTCTCTTCATCCCTCCCTTCTTTCTGCTACCAGAATGTCAGGTGTGTGGCAAGAGCAGTAGTCACCAGAGACCACAATATAAAAAATGCATACTCGGGATGGTGAAGAGGAATCTGTGTTGTTGACATCATGGCATGCTGGACCATTCTACATCTACACATTCTTCAATGAGAGAGTATAAATCCTGTCTTGGTAAGTTTGGGCTGCTATAATAAAAATAGCGTAGATTAAGTAACTTAAGCAATGCCTGCTTATTTCTCATCGTTCTGAAGGTTGAGAAGTCTAAGATCTGGGTGCTGACAGATGTGTGGTACCTGGTGAGGCCTCACTTTGGGTCTGCATACACCACCCATCCAGTAATCTCAACATGCAGGTTCCACTCTCACTACCTAGCTACATCCCAAAGGCCTCATTTCCAAATACAATGACCATGTAGATTAAGTCTTAACATAGGAATTTTGGCCTAGGGTGCAAACTTTCAGTCCATGGCTTCATGGTAGTGAAGGGGTGGACCTTGGAATAGTGTGTCATCTTGCAATACAAGACAGGAGAGGGGATATTTGAGACATAGACAGTTTCATTAAAATTGCAGCATTCAAAGGGCTGAGGCAGGAGGAGGCCATTATGTGCTTCAGTAGTGACTCCCAGCCTAGCCTGAGCTACAAAGTGAAGCCCTGTCACAAATAATAATAGTAATAGTAATAAATAATACGATGATGGCGATAGAGAAGGGGAGGAAGGAGAGAAGATGATGATCCCACCAAGCTCAGCAGGAGATGTCCAGTGTTTGCTCCTCTGTTCAATAAAGTGTGAAATCTAAAACCAAGTACAATACATGGCTCCTCCTTAGAATATTCTAAAGACTCCAGGTCCAAGGCTTCTCAAAAGAGACTCCTATGGAGGAAAATGTTTCCATTGCACAGAATTGCTGTTGTACCCAACCCTACACTTCAATGTCACCATAAGTGCCAGTGCCATTGTTGACACCATTCAAGCCAGGACTAAGTCGTGCTTCACAGCAGGATAACTTCCTGCTCTTACCCCTGACTCTTTTCTACCTTGTGGGCCCCAAGGCCCCAGCGCTATCTGTTAGCTGGGCCCAGGAAAGTGTAAGACCTTTGTACATTAACTTCATTCATTCCAATGTGTCAAATCATCCTGATTCTTCAAGATCTAGTTCAGATAGTCAGTCTCTCCTCCCAACACTTTTTTCCCTTGCATCTCTCACTGGGCCCTCTTGTTATTATTAATGATATTAATAACAATAATTCATTAGGCCATTGTAAATAGACAGGTATCATGCTAAGTTATATATGAACATAATCATTCAATTGACTCTTTTTTTAAGATTTATTTATTTATTATGTACACAGAAGAGGGCACCGGATCTCATTATAGATGGTTGTGAGCCACCATGTGGGTGCTGGGAATTGAACTCAGGACCTCTGGAAGAGTAGTCAGTGCTCTTAACCTCTGAGCCATCTCTCCAGCCCCTCAACTGACTCTTAGAATGACCTTCTAAGACAGGTGTTAACACAAGCAATCTATGGCTGAGAAAGTTGAAGCAAGGAGGGGATATTTGAGATGTAGACAGATTCATTAAAATATATCACACCCCAAGGTCAGAGAGCTGGCGAGTACCTGAGTCAGGATTTGAGCCCAGGTACAGCCTAGCATTATCCATGGCCAGTGAGCACTCAGGTCCTGACACTCTGAGGCTCCCTCCTGGAAGGACTCTGAGTGTGGAATCCACTCTAGCTCCAGCCTTCTAGTGTCCTGGGATCATCAGCAATGGCAAAGGGCCACGGCTTCTCTCTGGCTCTCTAGGAAGTACCACCAAGACCTTTGCTGCTGACTTCTTTTCTAAAAGCAAGTCCTCCCCCACCCCAGATCTTTATGCATCTTTAGAATTCCTGGACTTGGCTTCTGAGTATTCTTTGCTGGAGCAAGTCAGCAATTTGTGGTTTCCCGGCAATGGCTCTGTGCTCTATTATAGAACTTGGCTTGTTTGCATTTCCATTATGAGGCAGGGCACCAGCCTGGGTCTCAATTACCCAGGTGACCTGAAGCTATTCTGGTTGAGTCCTGTGGTTAGGTCACCTGCTCCAAGCCCTCAGAGTACGACCCACAGGATAGAACAGAAGATCCAGCCCCACTATTAGATGGATAAAACCAAACAAATCGGTAATTCTTACCCAGAAAAAATGACTGTTATAATGGGGAGTTTTATGTGTTCTTCTGGTAGTTCGAAGGAGAACAAGCAGGTTTAAATCCAAAGTGTCAGTGTGATGGGGTGAAGCAAGCGCTGTGGGCAGGTAGCAAACCAATGCCATCTCTTGGAAAGACGAATGGGTCTATTTATTGACTTCCAGATGTGCAGACCCTTTAATGCAACACTTGCACTTAAGATAAATTTATCTTATAGATATCCTTGTGCATTGTGATGTATGCACAAATATATTTGTTCTATTAGTTTTGTTACTTGTGTGTGCATACATGAACTTGTGTGTATACATGTTGTATGTGTGGGGGCCAGAGGTCGACATTGGCTATCTCCCTCAGTGGCTTCTTCACATTTATTTGTTTCTTATCTGCTTAATTTTATTTGAGGGTGGGGAAATGGCTTAGTCATCAACCAGGAAACTTGATAACCTGAGTTTGATCCTCAGAACCCACAGGATAGAAGGAGAAAACTGAATCCCACGGGTTGACTTCTGACCACCATACATGCACCTTGGCATAACCACGCACACACACATATTAATTAACTAACTAATTAATCAATGTGAAAATATTAATTACTTTTATCTTTTATCCCTAGCCCACTCCTGGTTTGTGTATGTGTGTGTGTGTGTGTGTGTGTGTGTGTGTGTGTGTGTGTGTGTGTGAAAGAGAGAGAGAGAGAGAGAGAGACAGACAGACAGACAGACAGACAGAGACAGAGACAAAGAACATGTAGATAAGAGGAAACAATGATTACTTCTCAGGACAAAGTCTGAACTGAGAAGATTAACTTATCGTTAACTACCATCTAGAACTAGTTTGGCTTATATTATGTTAATTTTCTAGACATGGTACACGTATAGCTACTGAGGAAGCAGAAGCAGGAAGGCTGTTTCAGCTCAGGGACTTGAGCTAGCCTGGACAACATGAAAAGCTCCCATATCTTAAAAATACAGGCAGCAGGCCAGGGACATGCTTAGCAGGTAAAAGTGCTAGGAGAATAGGCCTGACAATCTGAGTTCAGATCTCTGGAACCCGTGTGAAAAAAACCAGATGCAGTAGTACACGTCTGTAACCCAGCAATCCCATGAAAAGAAAACTGGGGCTAACTCCTAAGATGGTTCTCTGAATCCACGCACACTCCAGCACATGCATATGCGAGCGCGCGCGCGCGCCCGCCCACCCCCCCACCCCCCCACACACACACACAAAAAAAAAACAATGAAATTAATTAATTATTATCTTTAAACATTTATAAGGGCTCAGCGGGTAAAGCCATTTGTCACACAAACCTGGTGACCTAAGTTCAATCTACAGACTCACGTAAAGGTGGAAGAAGAGAGGGGATTCCACAGAGTTGTCATCTGTCCTCTATCACACACTGTGACACATATGTCCACATACGATTATCATGTACACCCACAATAATGATCATTGTTTGTTGTACGAATCCTAAGTGGTCTTATAATAAAATCCCAGAGCCAGATATTGGGGTAGATGCTGAAAGATCAGAGGAAACAAGCCACAGCCACTTCTCACCTCGCCAACTCCTCAGCCGAAAAGGAAAGTTCCTGTCTCCACAAATCCTCAGACTGATTGACTCTGAGTGCTCAGCAGAAAGGGCCTAATTCCTGTCTCCTCCCGCCTCATGTTCCTTTCTCTGCCCAGCCATGTCACTTCCTGTCTCAACCTTCCTAGCGCTGGGATTAGAGATGTGTGATCCCAAGTGCTGGGACTAAAGGTGTGTGATCCCAAGTGCTGGGATTAGAGATGTGTGATCCCAAGTGCTGGGATTAGAGATGTGTGATCCCAAGTGCTGGGATTAAAGGTGTGTGATCCCAAGTGCTGGGATTAAAGGTGTGTGATCCCCAGTACTAGGATTAAAGGTGTGTGATCCCCAGTGCTAGGATTAAAGGTGTGTGATCCCCAGTGCTAGGATTAAAGGTGTGTGCCACCACTGCCAGACCTCTCCGCTAACTCTGTGGCTGTCTCTGTCCTCTGATCTTCAGGCACATTTTATTAGAGTACAACAAAATATCACCACAATTATTAGAATAAATTATAATAAAAATACAGGAGCA